TTATATTGAAATCCTCCGACATTTTTCTTTACAAATCCTCGTTTTGTACTACTAATTCATGACCGGTGTTTTGTTTTGCTCTCTCCTCTGCACTTCCACGTTCGTCACCGCGTCTGCCTACGTGCTATATCATCCGCTGGACGCCACTCTCTTGTAAATGCATGTATGACAGCTAGCGGAAGCTAGAGATTAAGGTTTATAAAGTTGTAAATATGGATATTTTCCTTACACAAACGCATCGCGTCGATTTAGAATGCCTTTTTTAACCCCCCGGAGCCGTGTGGATAGGCCTGTCACAATAACAACTTTTTGCTGTGCGATATATTGCATTAAGTATCAAAATATTAGATAACTTAAAAAACCTGAATAAATAGTAAATAAACATTTTCTAACAAAAAGTGCAAAGTAAAATGTAGAAAAAAAGAAAAATGCACAAAGAACTTGTATGGAGAATTTTCCATCTACAGATTTTTCCCTGACCTTCTTTTCTCTGTAAATTAAGGGTGCACACTATTGCTGAAAAACACAATCACTACTCGGCACTCAGCAGTCAGATGTCCGTATGCACAAAGGCACAGATCCCTAAACAAGATCATATCTGCAGATTAAACTTTGTTTGTAGAAGCATTTTTTAAATTTGAACTAGCACCTCATGACTACACCACGTTATGTAGGAGAAGCTGCAAAAGACACGGGCCCAAGTGGAATGTACAAAACATGGTGACATTAATTTTTAAGTAAATATAATGGGCGATATATTGCGTCACCAAAAATTATTGAGGTCATGTACATATATTGCGCGATAAGTCGATATATTGATTATTGCGACAGGCCTACGTGTGGACTTCTTTTATTATGGATTGGTTCAATTTTTTGGATTTCAAATTTTGGGCTACCATCCACTCACATTATAAAGCTTGGAAGAGCCAGGATGTTTTTTAATATAACTCCGATTGTATTCGTCTGAAATAAGAATGTCATATACACCTAGGATGGCTTGAAGGGGAGTAAATCATGGGGTAATTTTCATTTTTGGGTGAACTATCCCTTTAAGCTCTCTGATCTAAAAAGCACTAAACCGGCTTAGCGATAAAACAGCCTAAACTCCTTTTCACACTTTCATTAAACTGTTATGAGCCCCTAATCTGCAGCACAAGAAGCCAAACCCTTAGAAAAGCCTCTAAACTTTAGAGTGACAAGCACACCTTGGTACACTTTTTAAAACAGTACTTAGAGAAATAATATACTTTAAAAGAATATATTTAAATGCAAACTCAATGTAATGTTTTTAGACACTTAACTGCACGTTATTATTTGCAATCAAATGAAAATGTATTATACTTTAAATGTATATTAAATGCCATTAGTTAAACTTAAGAGTGCTTTCAAGAAGAACTTATTTAGATTTTTATATGTAATTTTATAATTACTTACATTGTCTTTGAAATACGGTTGAAGTGTAGTCTGGCAAACTAAATTTCAATGGAATTTCAATTGAAACTTGTATGTCGTGTTTAAATATATTTGCAATTACACATTTGTAATGATGTAGTTGCAATTTAGTAAGTTTAATATAGATTTATTTTAAATGTAATACTGAATAACAAACTACAATTATTGACAAAATCTAGTAGCCTACTTTGCAGGTGTTTTAGTAAGTCAGTCAACCTTTGACCACAACAAAAGATTACCAAAACATTAATTTCAAATGTACTTTAAAGTAAAACCTTTAATTTTACATTATTTAAAAGTGCACTTTTTAAAAGTGTACACAAGTGTGTCAAGATTCCATTAAAATTATTCCATTCCACATCATTAATATTATACTACGTGCACAATCTTTTTAAAATATACTTTTAAGACTTGAAGTACACGACAAGTGCACATTAAATACAACTAAGCACACTTCTTTTTCACAAGGGCTGGGACAAAACACAATTGCTTTTGCTATGATAGCAGGGTCTGAAGGATGCATGCAGATTAAAACACTAAAAAGGCTCATAAATGCCCAGCTATTTTGTATGGCTTATTATAAATAGTGCACTTAGTATGTTTTTGTTTACGTTTAGCTGTCTATAATTTGTTCCAATAGTAAATTGATATGATATGACCATGATAGTGTGCATCATTATAATGGCATCCATCAAAACTGCTATTAATTTCTTCAGGTGTCACACTTTTTGATCTGCAAACAAATACTGAATGTACCCTTGAGGCTCTAAGAAACAGCATCTACAGACAATCGTATAAAAAATCATTAAAAATTAATTTTGACAGGCGCCTGTCAGAAACCCTGTGCTGTCATTCCCTCTTCAGGCTCAAAAGATGCGTTATTTTGCATTTAAAACCGTCTAAAGTGTCAGAAAACTTTCAAAAACACGGAGCACTAATCCACTGACATGGTTATTTTGTTGAAATCTTTTAAACATGGTTGCATGCACAGGACTGTAGGTTGCCTGTAAGGCTGCTCCAGCTATGCAATTTCATCTCTCTGTATGTCAACAAGCACGAAGGAAGTCTGATTCCTTTTGTTTACATTTAGCCAGTGCGCGCGAGCGACTGATCATTCATCAAATCAATCACGACCCCACTGCCTAATATTTGGCTTTTGCTGCCAAAAGCAACACATCAGGCCTGAATCAAGACTTGCACGTATTGTATTTGGCCAGTGCAAAGCCCAAAACCACCAACATCGCATCTTCCACATAAACAACGCGTAAGCGTGCATATGCATCGTTTGCATGCTCGCTTTTTTGGCTCTGAAATGTCAAATCTCCCCACCGATGTTTTCTTTACCTGTTCGTCGAATCGATTAATGATGGCCTGGACCCATTCCACGGGCTTGTGCGCCGCCATGCTCAGGCGGATGCGCGCGCCGCTAAGTCTCCTATCAATCACTTTTGCGATCCCGATTCCTGCTGTCGATTCGCCCCGGGTGCGACAAATACCCCCTAAACCGCTCCGTAAAATAACCAAAGAGGAGAACAGAGGAACAGGTGGAGGGAGGAGGGGGGTTTGGTTTAGTTTTTCACTTCAAGCATACTCCACCACGCCGCCATGACACACCACCGGAAGTTTGAATCCTCCTCTCTCTCGCTCTGGCTTCAGTCTGGGTGCTGCGCATGCGCAGAAATGCTATTGAAGAACGACCATTATTACGCGAGGAATATCTATCTATCTATCTATCTATATATCTATCTAGTTTGGTGTTTCTGGTAAACTGAATTACTTTTCTATGCACTGATTTAAAAAAATGTTTTAGGATCTTAAAATGTGCCATTATGTATGGTACTCAGTAAATTAAAGTACTATTGTGGTTTGTCCATTATTTAAACATAACAGAGCAGATGTCATTCTGATTAAAATGTGTAACTATATAAATCCTAATAAAGTATAGGCTACTCATCTGTTTTTCTTGAAATAATTAAACAAAGCTTCTTTGTATTCTTTATTACGAATTACAATGAACCATAAAATCATCTTAGAGAAATTTTGACATTAAAACATGAAATATTTCATACAAGTAAGCTAAATACAATGACCAACACATTAAAATGTAAATTCGTTTTTTTAAGAATCGGATTACTTTTTCCTTTAACAAAATTGACCAACTATTTTTAACTGTTAAACTAAATTAGTTTGTTTAATTGTGTAAATAGAAGTCCGAAATAATTATCTTAACTAGTGAATCTTTATTGTGCTTTAGTATAGTAGTAATATATTGGACGGATAAATGTTATAGCAACGAAAGGCCGCAGAAGGCTTTAATGAGAAAGAAAAGCAGAATTCTACTGCCACCTTGAGATCAATCTAAACACAACGTCAACAGAAAGCTGTATTAGTTAATCTACTTATAGTCACTAGAGGGCGTATGTGTTATCATAGCCTTTTGAAAAATCCAGACTTTTGAACAATAGGCTATATTTATTTTAAGACTTAGGCCCCACCAATTTAGCAAAAATTCAGTACAAAAAAAAAGAATTTATTTTTAGGAGTAACAAGATTTTAATATAATGTTCTGCATTTCTCTGTCTAATTCTATCTGCTAAATATGCCTTGCACCTCAAAGATATTTTAACTGTCTGAAAAGAATTTTTATTGTAACTCTGATCAATTTCTGATTTGAAAGCCATATTCCTTCGTTTATTAAATAAATTATCAGATTGTTCACTTGCCCTTAAACATCACACCATGAACATGTTTTTGTGGTTATTTTAATTATTTCATTGCATGGAAGTGAATAAAATCATTAAACAACATGACAGCCAAGCAACCATTTCTCTTTTAACCCATATAGGAGGAACAGATGGTACAGAAGGTGCTGTGAGCAACTTTCAGCTGCTTTCTAACTTCACAGATAATAAAAATGTTTTTAAAAAGTAATTGAAACAGAAGCTACATTTTACATGTTTAGCTACACGTTACTCCATGATAAACAGATACAGTACTAACCGTTCATATATCATACTGAAAAGCATTTTTTTTTTTTTGCTGGAAATGTATTAAAAGGTTCAGTTGCATGCACTGCATTATGAGATACAGCAATACTATCTGTTGTATAGGTCACTGCTCAGTTTGACAAAGGTTATTTTATGCATACAGAACATATAGTGCTGTAATAAAAGGTGTGTGGTAGCATTCTATTGCAAACATGGTCTGGATTTCTTAGGACACCTATTTCAGTGATATCTGTCTGGAAGCTTTGCGTGTGTAACAATCACTTACAGCATCTGTAAACTTCACAATAGTTAAAATAGCTGCAGAAAAGAAAAGTATGTGTATATGTTATCACCAGCAGAAGCTATTTGACCAGTTGAATATTTCAAAGCCATGATCAAAAAAAGTAGTTTTAAGCATAAAATATTAACTTATTTGTGGAGGTTTTAAATATGCACTTCCTATGGATCCTTGGCTTCCACAGAAAACAATTGTAGACCTCCACAAACTTCAATAACATCGATGTCCTCCAGTTTAGTAAAGCAATGCTTGTAAGTGTGTGCTTGCTGGCCATTCACTGACACATCGTACTGCTCTGCTTTGCAGGTGATTTTGATCTGAATTACACATACAAAACTGACAGTAAGATGCTTGCACTGATGTCACAAACAAACATTTACTCTTAAAGAGACAGTTCACCCAAAAATGTTAATTCTGTCATCCTTTACTTGCCCTTGTGTCATTCACAACCCATTAGCAAGCCTAATTTGAAAATGATTTAATCATTTTTTTGTCCATTCAAATATGCAAAAATCTATTACTGTCATACTGTAAACTGTCCATTTAAATAGAAAACGCATCTACATGTCAGTATGCCAGCCTACCTCAAAGAACTCTCCATTTTTAAAAGGGATGTCTTGACTCTTTTCTTCTGTCCCCCAACCCCCGTTCTGCCAGGTATTGCGGACAACTGCATTCTCCTCAAAACGGCATAGGTAGTGAAATGCAATCCCATATCTGTGGCGCAGATTAATCTCCATCCTAATGAAGAATGGAACAGAAGAGTGGATATGTTCTCATAAACATAAACTGTTTATAATAGTATTTGTACATTTACAACAAAAAATAAATAAAAATAAAAATGCTTGTGATGTATGTCAGAAAGAAAGGATTTTTTCTGACCTTTTACAGTCGGCGTTAGCAATTCCATAAATTACAATGATTTTGCCAGGCTTTAGTCCATCAACCACTTCTTTTTTGTACGATGCCACCTGATTGCAGGAAAAAATTATGAAAGCGTAAAAAGAATGTTTATGAAATTGTAAAATATAGGAAAGTATATAAAATATTAATCATGTTGAATGTTATGCTTAATAGTGGTAGTATATTTTTATTCTAACCACAAGATTCAGATGGCCAATGAAATCCAGCTCCATTCCCTCCACTAAGATGGTGTTCATTTGAGTGAATGGAATACGGTGATTATAGACCATTAAGTCTTCCCCATTGGCACTTATCTATGGAGAGCCATTGTATAATAAGCAAAACAGTGGAAATCAATCATTGTTTTCATTCAGCTAGTACAGAAAAAGAACAGTAGTGTACTAAAGATTTTTGCCTGTAATTTATGGCTAGAAAGTTATATATATATATATATATATATTTGTCTTTCAGTTACATCTATACAAACGGCACAACGAAATTTTGTACTGTAATGTAAACATGGACATAGCATACTGCAGTGAATAATGAACAGCTGAGGGGCAAACATGCACTTATTGTATAATGCTACCCGTTAGTGTTTAAGTGCATTATTTTATGAGTGACAAAGTGTGTTTGTTGAGTGTCAATGTCAATGTCAATTTTATTTATATAGCACTATTAAACACAACCGTGGGTTGACCAATGTGCTGCACAATAAAAACATTTCAATAAGACAATACAAAATAATTACTAAAAGAAACAGTACAGTAGAAAGTTCTCATTGATAAAACGCCAAGTCAAAAAGGTAGGTTTTCAACATGGATTTAAAAACAGATAGTGAAGGTGCAGATCTAATACAGTGGGCAGAGCATTCCACAATCTAGGGGCAGCAACTGAGAAAGCGCGGGCACCCCTGCATTTAAGCTTCTGCCAGAGTGACAGCTTTTGCCAGTGTTATGGAAGAATTAGTTGATTTGAGGTATGTGTGAAGTGTTTTTGTAGTTATAATGCATTTTGTATGTGAAATTTACTGCTGTGCCAAGATGGAATTTGGTAAATAGAATTAAAGTGACCAAATGGAGAAAGGTGTCCTAGCAATTGTGAAGAAAAAACAAAACAGTAAATTGGCAAAAGACCTACCATAGTAATGAAAGTGGAGTCATAATCTTACCTGCCAGTCATGTTTGGAGCTTGACTGAATGTCATTTTGGGTAATTTTACAGCCAAATAAATGGCTTTTAAATCATTTATACCTTATATGCCTGTGTGGTGACAAGGATCTTGATGGTGAACAGTTGGCCTTGGAGGAGAGGAGACTTAGAAGTGGGTTGATCTGAGTCCCAACTATCGTTTTGGAAGGTCTTGTACACTATATGTGGGTGGTCATTCTCAAAGTGTGGGCTAATGCACAGAGCAGTTCTAGCAGCGGGATGAGAACCATCCTTAAGGTTGATATTTGATCTGCAGAACACAATGAAAACTGTATACAAAACTAGCAATGTCCATGGTGATTATTGCGACACCCCAGAACGGTTTGGATCCATTTGCAGTTTATTAAGAATAGTCAGACAATACAGGGTCAAATACCGGCAAGGCAGAACAGTAGAGACAAGGCAGAGGCAGAATCGTGAACCAGGCGAGAGATCGGGGCAGGCGGCTAGTAAACAGAGTCCAGGTGAAACAATCCAAGTCGGGGCAGGCAGATAACAATCAGAGAATCAGGAAACAGTCCAAGATCAAAGCACAGAAAACAAACACGGGTATAACGCTCGGAAATGACAGCCGGGGCAAATCAAGACTTCGCAAGGAGTTCGTGAAATGGTGTGGCTTATATGTGTGTGTGTAAATGAGATGCAGGTGTGATTGTGTAATCAGTCCCAGGTAAGAGGGATGATGGGAAATGGAGTCCGAATGGAAGATCGCTAATACTCTGGGGACAGTTCCCTCTGGTGGTGCGGAGGAGGCGGTACGGGAGCCTCATCTGTAACAGTAATATTCCTTTAAATAAGACAAAGACACTAAGATTAATTCGTCCTTTTAGATGAACAAGAAAAAATACTCACGTGTTAGCATTTGACGAAATACGTCCAATTATGATAACAGTCTTCCCTTCCTTCAAGCCCCCCGTGATTGTAATCCCTTCAGTATTTGCGGACTGTGTTTGAGATGTGAATACAGTAAGCATATTTATGCAATATCACATTATAACTATGATAAATATCTGGGAAATAAAATAATAAAAGGACTTAATTTGACAAGACACCCAAAACATTGCTGCATAGCTAAATCTCCAAATCTTTCATTAATATTGGTATAGGAACATGCTGATGTGAAACGTTACGTACCGGTTTGTAAAAAGTCTGTTGCTGAGAATCTGCCATTCTTTCTTTTCTGCAGTCTCAATGCAAATCTTCAGCTGGGTATTCAAGACCAAGGTTGGAGCACCACGGATGGTAAAGCATGATGAGTCGTCTAAATATAGCTGTGATTTTAAGACCGCCCATATATTATACACATGCTATACATAAGACTCTAGGGAGATATATCTACCTGAAAATTACCTAGAAATATTTTCTACCAGTAAAATGCAAACAAGTATAAAAAGGAGATAATAGTCCAGAGACAGTCATGTAGACGGCTACTGTTGGCGTAACAGTGATAATGAAGAACATGATGCCTGATAATATGACCAAAGAGATGCATGAGAGCCCAAGAACCACAAACATTGGTGGATAAGATACAGTGGAATATTTGTCCTTTTTGAATAGATATACCTATACCTGGAAATTACCTAGAAACAAGGGCGTGTCTACGTGGTGGCCAGGGGTGGCAACGGCCCCCCCTGAAATTTGGCTGGCCACCCCAGGTGCCCCCCCTACCAGATGTCTTGCGATAGGCTTGTTTTTAGTAAATTTCTAACTGCATCTGAAATAGAAATATCTGCCTAGAAATATCTGCCATAAAATGCAAACCTATATAAGGGCAGATAAAATACACCCTCAGGAAAAACGTTGCAAAAGCTGTCACCCTTTTAAAAGGTATATAGGCTACTAATGTGCCCCTTTTAAAAGTTGTGGATAGCAACTGCATAAGGAGAATGATCCCCTAACGTTCTCCTAACATCAAAATTCCAGTAACATTTCTGTAACCATGCTGCAATAAACCACCTCAATAATCTGAATTCATAAGACTGAATTCTCTTCTAATATTTTAGATGATCTATCACTGTACCACAAACTGTTTCCAAGTTAACTAATACATAAATAAATACATAACTTTATTGTTTAAAAACTTTAAATACATAACCACCCATGTCACTATTTTGAATAATAAAAACAGGTTAGCTTTTCTTAATTTGACATAATTCATGACATTTTGGACAGATAATTATGACTGCACAGTACGTAAATTTTTTCAAAGCACATTTTACCAAATCCAAGCCACATCAATCATAATAACTATTATTAATTTTGTATAGAATTGATAATAAGTGATATATAATTGCTGGAAAGTAAGGGCTGGAAAGTCAAATATTATGACTTTCCAGTACCACCTTTTTCCAGAACTGCAAACTACCTGGAGTCTCCAGAAGTAAAATGTGTCAGGTTCTCAGAGACTTCGCTAAGGTAAAGAATCCTGAAACATGACCTCCACTTAATAAGAATCACAAGCTGAACTGTCATGAAATGTAATGAAAGCAACAAATAATTCTGTTTTAATATATCACCTATTGTGTGTTCATATAATAATATTAGATAGCTATTAGAGTAATTAAAATTAAGCATACCTCTACTGCCACTATGAGATCAATCTAAATACAACGTCAGTATTTATTATAGTTAACCCACTTATCATCACTAGAGGGCCATCATGTGTGTCATCATAACCGTTTGAAATGTTCAGACTATTGAACAATGTATTTATTTTTAAGTCTCAAGCCCCACCAATTAATTCATTATAACCATTTCATTTTAAGGAATAGCACGATTTTTTGCATTTCTCTGTCTTGCTAAATGTCCCTGTTACCTCAAATATATTTTTACTGGCATTAAATTGGAACTCAGTTCAGTTACTGATTAGAAATGCATTCTTAAATTGTTCACTTGCCCTTAAAAATCACGCCCCAAACTTGTTTAGATTATTTGAATTATTATTTTAATTGCATGGAAGTGAAAATAATCATTATACATGATGGCACCGTCTTTAAAAACAATATTGAAGGAAGATGTCGAAGTGCTGTAAGAGATTTTTAACTATTTTGCGAATGTCAACAGCACTAAAATATTTAAATATTTTCACAAGTGTTCTTCGCCTTCTGTCTGTAAAAATTACTTACAGCACCTTAAATTTCACAATATTTAAAGATAACATTGATCTTCTGATGAAAATGCTGTTGAGTAGTTTTCTACTTCCACCTTGATTTAAATGAAGATCTACGTATATTCAGCAAAGCGCAAAAGACTGCAAAAGTATTAGTCCAGTTTAGTAAAGGGATGCTTGTAAGTGTGTGCTTGCTGGCCATTCACAAACACAGCATAATACTCTCTACTGCAGGAGATTTTGACCTGAATCACACAAAACGGTAAGATCATGTCACAAACAAATTTCTACTCTTAACTCTTAGAGGGACAGTTCACAGAAAAAACATTGAAATTCTATCATCATTTTCTCGCCCTTGTGACATTCCAAACCCATAAGCCTTTTGTTCATTTTGGAACATAAATGAGATATTTTTAATATTAATTTAATATTCTTTTTAATTTTGTCCATTTAACAATGCTGGCCTTTTTTTCCCCCCCCAGAGATGGGTTTGGAGCAATATGAGGGTGAGCAAATGAATTTTATTTGAGCAGAATCAAGTAGACACTTCAGATTTGTATCAAACATAAAACAAAGAAAAACATTTTACACTATCCATTTCAACAGAAAAGTAGCTACCATAAGGATGTGGGCTGTAATTACCAAGTGCTCCTTCAGATCCTAATTAGTTGGTTCAGGTTCCGTGGTGCTCCAGCCTTGGTCTTGAATACCCAGCTGAAGATTTGCATTTTTGACTGCAGAAAAACAAGAATTGGCAGAATGGCAGCTAGTGAGCAACAGCTGGCAATTTATAAACCAGTAAGTGACATTTTTAATAATAGACTCTATAATGAGGTTTCAGTGACATATATACAAGTGTATATACAGTATATAGTAATATGCAGCAATGTTTATGGCATATTTAGACCTGTTTGGGGTGCACTGGATTTTAGACATTTAGGTATTCAGCAACATTTAATGTATCTTGTCAAAATAAGTTATTTTATTATTTTATCTGCCGTCATTATCATCACTGATATTTTAAAACATAAATGCATAAATATGCTTACTGTATCCACATCTCAAACACAGACGACCGCAATTACATCAATCAAGGGAGGCTTGCAGGAAGGGAAGCGTGTTATCATAATTGGACGCTTCAGATCCTAATTAGTTGGTTCAGGTGTGTTTGATCAGGACCAGGGTTGGGCACCCCTGTTGTAAATTAATAGTGTGGGCTAAGTGAGGGCTGCCCGTACAGGGCCAGCACTAAAGGGCCAACGTTTTGCCAATGAGCAAAATCTCAGAGGCCCTGCGCAGGCAGCCCGCTGGGGGCCCTTAGGCTAGCCCTAAGTGGGCCCGTAAAGGGCCACTGCAGGCTTGTTTGCAGGGATGCTATGTAGAAGCATCTAAAATCTCTCTGAAATAACTCATAGCGTGTGGGTCCTATTTGAATTTTTTATTTATTTTTTTCTCTGATCCGCTTACTGATTTTGACCAAACTTGAACTGACTGACTGATTTTCGCTGAAAACTCGCATGCGGTAGCTTTTATTGAGGAACAGCCTTGGTGAAATCTAACCCTTACGAAAAAGAAGTTTATTCAAGTGTGCTATTAGTATACTTCTTTTAAACTAAAAATAGGAAAGTATACTTTTAGTCTACTTTTTGTGTACTTCTCAGAAATGGGCTTTATGTACTTCTCAGAAATATACTTAAAATTACACTTAAGTATACTTGACTTATACTTAGAAAAAGTCTAAATATATTTCAGCTATAATTGTGCTCCTAGAATCCGCGTTTTCATTGTTATACTGTAGAGGGCGCTAGTACACATCTTCTGTACAGAATTTCCAAAAAACACAAGTGAAGAAGAAACCGAAACAACAGATGCTTCCACATGTAATCTAACAGATCATCAGACATAAACAGCATCAAAACTGTGTAACATATACTTAAAAATATACTTGAACTTTACTTAAGTATACTTACTAAAATAAACTTGAAGTATACTACTTTTTGGTAAGGGTAGCTCTGCGTTTTCCCCCTCTTGAGGGCTGGTTCACACAGAAAGCGTTTTTCCACTCCACTGGGACACGTTATTGTTTTTGTAAATGCGCTAGACGGAAGTGTTTGCTCTTTGTGTTCGCATCTCGCGTTTTTTGCAGCATTGCGTGCAAAAAAAATTTTTTTTTTAATAACCATAAATTCTCCCAGAACACTGTAGGGATGTTTTTTACTCTTTTGATAATGATCTGGGCAGTTTTCAGTGGTACAGTGATAGATGAATGTTCCAGATAACCTTACATATTCATGAAAGAATTCAATCTTTAATATACTGATTATTGAAGTAATATTGCAGCATGGTCGCAGAAATATTCCTGAAATGTAATGTTAAGGTAACATTAAACATTCTTAACCCTTTAAAGCTCTATTTGGGGAATGTTCTGAGAACCAAAAACTAATATTTCTTAGAGCCAGTACCAAAAAAATACAAATGTTAGGGCTAATTAAGATGAGGATTTGAAGACTTTTTTATGACTACATTCAAGACAACTCGTTTGAGAGTTCTTTTTAATCAATATTATTTTTATGGCTCCTTAGTATTGTTGTTCTTTTGGATTTCAATGGTTTTGATACTGTTCCATTATTTTATGCCCTTTCAAATGGTACACCGTTTTACCTTATTTAGCCATATATTCATCTTTTTCTCTAAGAGTGTATGATATCTCCTCTTATCCATGTTTGCATTTTAGCTGTCTGTCAACGTTTCTAGGTAATTTCCAAGTTATATAGATATGTATATCTATCCAAAAAGCAGAAATATTCCACTGTATACCTTAGATGATAGACCCAATGATTGTGGCCCTCATGCATTTTTGGTCATTTTATCAGTCATCATGTTCTTCATTATCACATGACTGTCTCTGGACTACTGTTATCTGCCTTTTACACTTGTTTGCATTTCAGCTGTCTGGGAGAACATATTTCAAGGTAGATTCCAGTCATTTCCAGGTAGGTATAAAATAACCTATGTATAATATATGGGCGGGCCTAAAATCACAGCTATATTTAGGCTACTCAGCATCATGCTTTCACATCCGTGGTGCTCCAGCCTTGGTCTTGAATACCCAGCTGAAGATTTGCATTTTTGACTGCAGAAAAACAAGAATTGGCAGAATGGCAGCTAGTGAGCAACAGCTGGCAATTTATAAACCAGTAAGTGACATTTTTAATAATAGACTCTATAATGAGGTTTCAGTGACATATATACAAGTGTATATACAGTATATAGTAATATGCAGCAATGTTTATGGCATATTTAGACCTGTTTGGGGTGCACTGGATTTTAGACATTTAGGTATTCAGCAACATTTAATGTATCTTGTCAAAATAAGTTATTTTATTATTTTATCTGCCGTCATTATCATCACTGATATTTTAAAACATAAATGCATAAATATGCTTACTGTATCCACATCTCAAACACAGACGACCGCAATTACATCAATCAAGGGAGGCTTGCAGGAAGGGAAGCGTGTTATCATAATTGGACGGATTTTGCCAGATGCTAACAGGTGAGAATTATTTTTCATGTTGCTCTTAAAGGACAAATTATTCTTAATGTCTTATTTAATGGCGTGTTACCATTGCTGTGGCTAGTTTTGTGCCCAGTTTTCATTCTGTGTTCTGCAGATTACATGTGAACCTTCAGTGCGGTTCTGATTCTGATGCTGATATTGCTCTGCACATAAACCCACGCTATGAGAACGACAGTGCACATGTAATGTACAGCACCTACAAGAACGGTACATGGGGCTCTGAACAATCCACGCCTGACTCTCCTTTCGTCAAAGACAAACTGTTCGCCATCGAGATCCTTGTCACCAAGGAGGTATACAAGGTATGCACTCTTTGCAGAAGTTAAAAGTTAACCATTCATTTGGATGTATAATGCCATGCCAACATAAGGCTATTTTCATGGCAACATGTATTGTTTCTGTACTAATAGAATGAGAACAATGATTGTGTTCTATTACTTTGCTCATTATCCAATGGCTTTCCATAGATAAGTGCTAATGGGAAACACTTAAAGGACTATGAACACCATATTCCAATCATTCAAGTGAACACCATCTCAGTGGACCAAAACATCGAGCTGGAGTTCATTGGCTACCAGAATTCTGTTAGGAAAAAATAAACTGCCACTGTTAAGCATATGATAATTAAATTTTTGCATATTACAGTTTTATAAATCCTTTTACACTTTGGTCATTTTTCCTGCAATCAGGTGCCACCATACAAAAAAGAACTGATCAATGGACTAAAGTCTGACAAAAACATAGTCATTTACGGAATTCCAAACCCTGACTGTAAAAGGTTAGAAAAAAATCCTTTCTTTCTGACACAGACATATCATAAACATTCATAAATGTATTTACCTAAAAAATTTTCCGACAACTCTTCTGTTCCATTCTTTATTAGCATAGCAATTCATCTGCGCCACAGATATGGGGTTGCATTTCACTACCAATGCCGTTTTGAGGAGAATGTAGTTGTCCGCAATACCCATGAAAATGGGAGTTGGGGGCCAGAAGAAAAGAGTGAAGGCATACCTTTTATACAAGGCCAATTCTTTCAGGTAGGCATACTAACATCTTGATGGTACCAACTTTTTCTGTTCACATGGACAGTGTATGACAGTTATAGATATTTGCATTGTTTCATGTTTGATACATATCTGAAGTGACTACTCTATACTGGTAAAGGGGTAGAAAAATTCATTTATTCTCCCTCATGTTGCTTCAAACCCATAAGACATTTGTTTATCTCTGCATGGTTAAATGGACAAAAATATGAAAATATTCAAATGCTTATGGGTTTAGAATGTTATGAGGGTTAGTAAACTCTGGCAGAATTTTCATTTTGGGTGAACTAGATTTTTAAGAGTAGAAGTTTGTTTGTGACTTGAGAACAAACACCTCGTCTTACTGTCAGTTTTGTATGTGTGATTCAGGCCAAAGTCTCCTGCAAAGCAGAGCAGTACGATGTGTCAGTGAATGGCCAGCAAGCACACACTTACAAGCATCGCTTTACTAAACTGGAGGACATCGATGTTGTTGAAGTTTGTGGAGATCTACAGTTGTTTTCTGTGGAAGCCTAACAAGTATACAGGTTCACAAGAAGTCCATATTTAATATTTTCACGAACAAGTTCATATATCTTATGCTTAAAAATAAATGTTCTGTTAATGGGTCTGATAAATTCAATGGGTCAAATATCTTCCACTGGTGACAACATTCACATATAACTTTCTAACTACATATCTAATACTTCTGCAGTGTTTTGCACTTTGTTGAATATGGATCTACATTTAAATCAAGGTGGAGGTAGAAAACTACTCAACAGCATTTCACCAGAGGATCAATGTGACCTTTAATTATTGTGAAATGTAAGGTGCTGTTAGTGAATTTTACAGACGCAATTTAATGCGTAATTTAAAATACAGTTAAAACATTTGTAAAAAAAATCTAGTGTTAAGAAAAAACAAAACATTGCAGAAATGCAGAAAATTATATTATATTCAAATCATATTATTGCTTGGTTTTAATGAATTAACTGGTGTGGCCTGAGTCTTAACAATATATTGTTCAATAGTCTGAAAATTTCAAACGGTCATGATGACATACACGTCCTCTAGTAATCATAAGTAGGTTAACTATAATAATAGGCTACTTCATTATGCTTTCTATTGACACTGTATTTAGATTGATCTCATGGTGGTAGTAGAGGCCTTAACTTTTATTACTGTAATGAGCATTACTTTGCTTTCATTACTTTAACAGCTATTTATCTAATATTATTATATGAAAACACAATATGCTAGGTGATATATTAAAACATTTATGGCTTTCATCTTATGACAGTTCAGCTTGTGATTCTTATTAGCCTAAATGGAGGTCATGTTTCAGGATTCCTTGCCTTAGAAGTCTCTGAGAACTTGACACGTTTTACTTCTGGAAACTCCAGGTAGTTTGCAATTCTGGAAAAAGTGGCACTGGAGAGTAAAGAGTTTCTGATGGTTTAATTCTTGATTTAACACCTAATTCTTCATTTTAATTCTTAAAGTCTTTTGCAGTTCATATCTTGTCTTCTCAACCTGTTTTTCTGTGTTCCTACTGTCCCATTTAGGATTTCTTGTTGTACTTTTGCTATTTCTATAGTATTGAATAACAATTATATAGCACTTAGAAAGGATTACATACAAAATTAATAGTAGTTATAATATTGATGTGGTTTGGATTTGGCAAAAAGTAAATATATATATATATATCATGAATACATGTGTTGATGACCTTTGATGGCCACATTCACCTTTCTGTCCTTCTCATTTTGCAATAATTCCTGCAGTTTTTCTCAGTTAACTCTGTTTGCATTTCTAATAAGATTTGAATTAATTCTTGCCATTTCAAAGAGGACAACTTTTTCAGGTAACCAGGCGTAGATCAACAAACATGTATTGCTTTATTGTTGATGTCATTGTGAGTTGAAAATAATAGGCTATCACCATCTCCTGCAATCCCCATCATTACAAAGTGTTTGTCAATGGCACACAAGCACATTGATATTTTGGAGATTTGTGGAGATCAGCTGACTTTAGTGCAGGCTTAACAGAGATATGTGAGGTTTAATTTACTTTTAAAAGAAGGATAAGGGAAAGCATTGCAAATTGTTAAAAAGTAGTATTGCTTTGATGTACAGAAAAAATGTATGACTGTAAACATGAACAGCACTGTGATTTTGCTATTTTGAATTAACATAAAACCCTTCTTACTATGTTTGGCTTTCTGTACAATTCTCTTTTGTATATGGTATTACAATATGTAGTTGCCTTTTTCTATATAATCATCTCGAAACTCTATCACTCTTGCTGCATGTTTAAAATAATAAACTTCTAACACAAATAAACAGCACATTATATCAAAATATTCCAACGAATCCTATTTCTTATATATCTGTCTCTACAACTGTAACTAAAACTAAAATAGATAACTAATACAAATCAAACTACATTAGTTTATCAGTAATCCTACAAAAAATAACACTGAGCCAAACACACATGCTAAAATAACAACAACTTACTGACACATAGTAAGAAATGGTTATAAAAAACTGAAACAGAAGTGAAACAAGTAGTAGGAAAGAGGAGAAATAAAAAGCGATACTTACTGTCTTACTTTTCTTACAAACAACTGATACATTTGCTTCAAAGCTTAGTTTGTCATCGATCATAATCCCAAGATATTTATGATTGTCAGTCAACTCAATATCCACTCCGTCTATGCTTGTCATCCCTGGACTCAATGTTGATCTACCAAAATCAATTAACATATCCTTTGTTTTTTCCACATTTAATTGAAGGTGGAAATTGCTACACCACGTGCCCTCGATCCTGTTCCTGCAGAAGACTCACTATCACAGAGTCATCTGCATATTTAATAATATGCCTCTCTTCATATGAACTATGACAATCATTTGTATACATGATATATAACAAGGGTGACAAACAACAACCTTGAGGAGAACCCGTGGAGCAAAACAACTGTTTAGAAAATACACTGTGGCCTTTCTGTTAAAAAATCTAAAATCCATCCAGCAACATTTAAATCAATATTAAATTGAGAAATTATTTTCTCTATTAACAAATGTGGCTTTATGGTGTTAAAGGCAGAAGACAAATTGATGAACAACAACCGGGCACACGTTTTCGGTTTTTCTTTATGCACCAAGAGCTTGTAACACTCTAAAGAGAAAGGAAAAAATGAAATCGCATCATATGACCCCTTTAATTATGCCAAGTATACAAAAAAAGTTTGTATTTTTTGAAAATCGTGAAATGAATGGTGCTATTGATGATTGCAATTAAATCATTTCTGGTGTTTCCCAACCAGCCCAAATAAGCAGTTAATTATCTCTAAAAAAAAATGTACAAAGTTGTTTTTTATTTTAGCAAACTTAAACTGTATTCGACAAGTAGGTAGGCCTATATTTACCTAGGTTCTTTCTAAAGATATATGCAACTTGATATTGAAGCGTTTTTCCATTACACCGCGCCACATTTTCATTGTTTTTCAATGTAAACACGCGCTAGAGTCTAGATGGACGTCTTTGCTGTTTGCGTTCGCGTCAAAGCGTTTTTTTTTATATAGAGTATCGTATATAGGGCGTTTTAAAATCGCTCTGTTTTTAGAATGCTCTGAGAACCAAAAACGTAGTTTCCTAAAATTACCAGAACCAAAAATGTAAATTGAGAGCACAGTTTTTACAACACTGAAGACAGCACTTTTTAGAATTCTTTTAATATACTGAATTGAATTTTTATGACTTCTTAGTATTGCCATTCCTTTGGATTTCATTGGTTTTGACGCTGTTTCATTATTTGGTGCCTTTTCAATAGGTTTTTCTTTGTACCTTATTTAACCCTAAAGGTAGGCCTATTCGTAGCCTATATGGCACTTTTGAAGGGGTCCTTCCCCAGTGACAGTTTTTGTACATTTTTCTCTGTTATCTGCTCTTTTCCAGATTTGCATTTTAGTTATCTGGCAGACAGCACGTCCAGGCAATTTACAGGCATGTATATCTACCCCAAAAGCTCAAATATTCCACTGTATAGACCTACATATCCACCAATGATTGTGGCCCTCATGAATTTTTGGGTCATATTATCAGACATCATGTTCTTCATTATCACTGTCACGCCAACAGTAGCCTACATGACTGTCTCTGGACTATTGTTATTTGCCTTTACCATTGTCTTCATTTTAGCTGTCTGGCAGACAATATTTCAAGGTTGATTTCAGTCATTTCCAGGTAGGTATATCTACCCAGAATTGCGAATTAACTACGTATAATATATGGGCCGGCTTAAAATCACAACTCTGCATCATGCTTTACCATCCTTGGTGCTCCAGCCTTGGTCTTGAATACCCAGCTGAAGATTTGCATTGAGACTGCTAAAGAATAAGAACTGGCAGAACAGCAGGATGGCAATTTATAAACCAGTAAGTGATATTTTTAATATTAGCCTCTATAATGAGGTTTGATAGTTTTTGTTTTCATGATGAGGTTTAATTCGCAATGACCTATATATATATACAGTGGGTACGGAAAGTATTCAAAATCAATTCCTTTACTATTTTTTCAAAGCATTTCATAATTAATTACGTAAGTGTGACTGGTCTAAAATCATTTAAATTCTTGGTAACTTTACTTTTCGGCACAGGGACTATATTAGATTTCTTCCATATTTTGGGGTCTTTTTGTACCTTAAGAGACTCTAAAAAAATATAATGAAAAATTCCACATAATTGATCTGCACAGATCCTTAACACCTTACCTCCTATCAGGCCCTGGACTTTTCTTGACATCTACATTTTGAAAAAGACGTTTAACCTTAAGAACCTCAATATTTCCATAATTACTAGATAGTGTTCTCTGTTTTAATTCATTTATTTCCGCACTAAAATCACGATTGTCAAATCTTAAGTAATACTCATTTAATTTATCCGCCAAATTTATGTCAGAGTTAAAATCAGTCTGATTATTTTGGTGTCCTTCTTCTCAATACCTGCCAAGGTTTTGACCCCCTGCCATGCTGATCTTAAGTTTTTTCCACTCAGCTGCTCTTCTACCTTATCTTTAAATTTTAACTTATCCTTCTGTATTTCTGCTCTCACCATTTTATTAATCTCTCTAACTTTTTGTAATTCTCCTATCTGAAAAGCTCATTTCTTTTTGAGAAGAAGATCTTTTGTTCTTTTTGAAATCCAAGGATTATTGTTGGGGAATACTCTAAACGGTTTGTAAGGAACAATACAATAAGTGCAGAAAGAAATATATGCACTGTATGCATATATATATATGCAAATATATGCATAATGTTTGCTTGTTTTACTACTTACACAATTATTTAAAGTATAAAACATTGTTATTTACAATGCACAGCATGGTTTTTAATCATATTTTTAGGGGGGACAACCCTCAGATAGGCATATCTAAAGCCTTGTCTACACCAAGAGAACCCATTATAATCAGTTGACTGTCCACACGGGAAGTGGCACGAGGCGACAAATCTTCTACAGTAACTGATGCCTCCTTCTATTCCGAATCTTGGAAACATGCGTTGTATGCGTTGAAAGTGAAACCTAAAAAAACAGCGCGCATAAGAAAGCGATTGCACGCTTTCGCGAGCTTCAGCAAATGCACGCGATCACAGATTGCACGCTTCCCAGCCGAAACAACCCCCCATGTGAAACTGAAATAATAAGCCGTGATATAAGATTTTGGCCATATTGCCCATCTAAGTCATTCATCCCACACTATCAACATGAGCGTC